CTTGATGGAATAGTTCCTATTTAGCATGGATTCGATTAGTTCAAATTAAAGTATATATTGAACTTCTTATTATTTATTTTACAATTCATGAAAATTCTGAGGAACGTAAGAATGGAAAAAGGTTACAAGAAATTAATTTAACAAATTCAGAATGAGAATTATTAAAAGAACTCTTACAAGTTTTGGACCTTTTGAAGAAGTAAGTAAAACTTTAATAAATTAGATTATGTAAATTTTATTATATATTACATTATTTATTTAAATTAATTTATATATAGGCAACAAGATATTTAGGTAGCTCCTATTATGCAATGCATAGTTTTATGCATTGAGTTATAAAAGAAATAAAAAATATTTTTAAACCAAGTCAAATAAATGAAGATGAGTTATATTATGATAATTCAAATATTAAAGAACATGATGCATTTGATGATTATGAAGAAGAAGAGCTACAAACTCAAAATCTCAAATCAAATTAAATGCACCAGTAGATACTACAGGTCTTTTAGAAAAAGTAAAACATAATTTTTATAAAATTTTATGTTATTACTATCCTGATTCTACACCACAAGAATTATTGTCTGCTTTATTGGATCTATGTCTTAAATCTCTTGATTATATGAATGGCATAAATAGAGTGGCTATTAAAAATCTTCTTAGACAACTATATAATAATGAAAAAACTATGGAGATAAATCAAAATGATAAAGACAAAGAACTTGATAATGGTGCTTATAATTTGGATAATAAAAGATCTGATAAATTTATAGTTACTATGAATCTATTATATACACCATATTTGTTGAAATCATTAGAAAAGGAAGATCATCCCTCAGCTAATGAAATTGACGAATATATGAAGCAACCTAAAATAAGTCTTAAAAAAGACCCCCTGGTATGGTGGGACTTATATTTAAAAAAATTTCTAGTGCTATCTAAATTAGCAAAAATTTATTTGGCTGTTCTAGCAACATCCACCCCAAGTGAATATTTATTCAGTGATGCTGATAACTTAATAACATCAAAGAGAACCCACATTTCTTCAGAGCTTTTTAAAAGAATGATATTTTTAAAAAGAAATATCAATCATCCTGAATAATATGTTATAAATGTATTATCCATAATTATATAAGCTAGTTATTAGATTTATATAAATATTCAAATATAATTATTATCGTAATTATTGCAATATAATTATAATTGCAAAAGATAAATATTCTTTTTTATATTATTGGTATAATTTTAATTTTTATATTATTGGTATAATTTTAATTTTTAATGTTAATATAACAATAATGTATTAATCGGATATCTGTAAAAAAATCGATTAAATGTTTTGCATAAGCAATTAAAGATTCTATTGGCAATAATACCTTTCCTATTACTAATTGTAATGTATGTGAACAACAACGTTGCTACATAACTTGATCCATATTTATAACAGTTTTTTTCATGTTTGAATCACTATCAGTGGTTATAGAATATACTTTTTCACTAAGATCCCAATAGTTAAGAATTTTTTTAACAGTTTCACAAATATGAATAGCTGTATGTAGGTAACAAACATATTGAATTGCAAGAGTTGTTTCATTTAATTTAAATTGATGATCAATATATAAGCATATAATTCCAAGATAGCCTTGCTGATTTTTGGCTGTCCAGAAATCTATTGTAAGTGAAACTTTAATTGCATTTTGTTTAATATGATCTCGCAAAAGAGAAATCGAATAATTATAGGCTTGATGAATGATTTGCTTAATTTGTTTAACATCAGGAATTAGAAATGCTGGATCAAGTCTATTTACAAATCGATGAAAGGCTAAATCTTGAACAATAATCAAAAGACGTGAATCAGTTACAAGCCAATCAACAAGTAATTATCGTAACTCTTTTTGTTATTTTTCATTATAAGGTGAGATAGATCTTGATATCTAAATTATATAATATTTGTTAAATTTAATATATATTAATCTTTAACTTAAAAAATTTATATATACATATATATGTACTGTTACTATATATACATATATATTTAATATTAATTAATATAAGATATACCTTTTTAGAATTTTAATCAGATTTAGTTACACCATGTTCAGCACTTAAATGTCTAATAAAATTATTAGTTGAAGATCCAGTTTTGTATATTCTTCCACACTCTTGACTATCTACGTCAATTTTGCATATTGAATATGTGATCCATTTGCTATTTTGTTTGCGAAGTTCTTGTTAATAAAATGCCCACACCCAACTAGTCTTTTTTGATATATCCAAATAAAGAACTTCATCTTCAGAAGCTTCATTAATTTCATTAATTTCATTTAAGTTAGGATCAGATATGTTTCGTCTTTTGTTAGAAGCAGACATTTTTTAATAAAAACGTTAATGATAAAAACAATAGCGATTTAATCGTGATGATTTATTAATGATTATTAAATAATAAAATAATTGCGATGATTTATTTATTACATATTTATAACTACTGATTAAACAGATGATCAGATAATTAACAGATAATTAATGTCTATTTGAGCATAATTACTTTTTTGTATAGTTTGGATTACATCTGTGTAGGATCGGATAGATATTCAGATAGTTAGGATGTTAGGGCTATGGATTGCTACTCTACTGAGAACACAGAACAACTAGGTCGACACTAAGTATATTAAAAAACTGAAGATAGTACCTATACAACTGTAAAACTTACAAGGAAGAACCCACAAAGTTTCATTGGCCCACCACTTTTTTCGAGAAAATTTTGTCAAAAAGTGGGCGTCTTAGCTTATCTCCTCCAAAAGATCGATACGTAAATCTTCAAAACAGTCAGTATTATTTATCTAATCCAAAATGGGTTGGCCTCCTAAAATGAGTTGTTTACTTTTAGTAAACACAAATCGATAGGTGTCCAGATTAAGCAACCAAATACATTTTAAGGACAACACAATTAGGCAACATGTCTTGACCGAAAGAAACTGTTTAAACAATACTCTGAGACTATTAGTGTTTTTTTTTTTTAACTACTCTGTCTAGTCTAGTTTAAATCTACTATTTTTTCTTTTTTTTCTAGTATAAATTAGATATATTATTAGGATAGAGTTAGATACAGAGCTTCTTTATCTTGTAATATGTAATTTTTGTTAGCCTAACACAAGCTTATAATTGTGACTATCAGAATTTTTTTCTTTCATTCTTACTCTTTCTCCCTTTTTAGTATTAGTATTAATGTTAGTATTTTTTTCTTTTTTTCACTTCCCTATGAGAAAATGTCATCAGATTGGTGATATCCTATTGTAGAACGGTGGTCTGATATAGCTTTCTAGGATAGATGATCTTTGGATTTATCATGATATGTCTCTTATAGATTTATTTGTCTAGTGCGGCAGGTCGCTTGAAAGTGCTCTTAGAAGTAACTACAAAATGTCAGGCCTAAATATTAAGCTTAAAGTATCTTGTCACGCCTATAACAAGACAATCTTAATAAAAAATCACTGGCAAGACTGCCAAAGTTGAAAAAAAAAAAAAAGAATTAATTAAAAAAATCTTGAGAATTATAAGTTTTTGTAAAAATTTATTAATAAAATTCTATAAAATCTTATGTTTCTCAAAAATTTACTAATTAATTCTAACTTAATGTACTAAGTAAATTTGTTCAGTACTAAAAAATATATATAAATATGTCCAAACACAAACTAGTCTGCAAACTTCGAACCAGATTCAGACCGAACTCACAATTGAGTCTGAGTTTGGTCTGAAGTCTGAAATTGACAAAATTTAGAGTCTGAGTCTGGTCTGATCCTGGACCAGACTTAAATCAGACCAGACCCAGACCAGACCTAGAAGCACTAAGTTGATGCCTTTTCATGATAGCAACTGTAGTTCACTGATAATCTTTTTTTGCAATACCAATTTTTTTTCAATACTGATATGTAAAAAAGTAAAACTATGAAATATAACTGTACTGACTATATAAAGAGAAGTACTTTATTTTATTTTTTCTTTACCACTATTTTAATTATCTTCTATGTACTCTATTAAGCTTGTTGCAAACCAGGGTTTTAAGACGCAAGCCTTTTCTGCTCTAGTCGATTTCTATGACCAAAATTTAATATAGCAAGGTGATTAAATAATCTTTATTATCGTTATATGACCAAAATTTAATATAGCAAGATAAATTAAATAATCTGTCGCTATATGAATAAAATTTAATATAGCAAGATAATTTGTTATTAATAATACGTTGTCGCACACGAAAAACTAACTGCGTAATATATCATGTGTCTTATGTAACGCGTTTGTCATCGGTAAATCGCATTTTTGATTGGGCGAAATCGACGATCCTTAATAACGTGACTTGATCCTAGACAAGAAACTACCCCAGGATCGCCGTAAAAAAGTTACTGTCACGTGATGCTCGACAAATAGCGAGTCTCGCTTTGGTGTAACGTAACACAATCAGGAAGATC